TTTAGGTTTAGGGGTTAATTTTAGGTTTAGGGGTTAATTTTAGGTTTAGGGTTTACAGCGTGCTTCTGTCTCCGCGCTGTTGTCACCCTGTTGATGACGTCAGCGACGCGGTTTAGTCGGGCGCGGTTTAGTCGGTGAACCCTCCTGGATGGCTACACAAGCATGCAGACAAACCAGGGGCAGCTTTCAAAGATTGTGTGCAAACCTGCACTGCAAAGAACCTCTTTCAAATGCTTTGTGTCAAACTGACAATAATAGGATATAAAATATCCATACTTTATTCCATTACTTTAAGAGAATGTATTTTCCTGAAACAATTTAAATTGCAAGAAATGATGACTTTCAATTTTCTCCAGCAGTGTCTGGGAGTCAATCCTGTAGGTCTAGCAGAAGCATTTAGCCCCACCCTTCTACATGGAGTGGGGGGGGGGGGCAGGGAAAGGTAGGGAGGATGGTAAAACGTGATAAAATACTAGTTATGTCATTTCAACAAAAGCAACAGCAGCCCAAGAATGCTCACAATTTTATCCTTTTTTTAAAATTAGGAAGCCTGGACCTTCTAATTCTAACATATATTGAAAAGATGAAGTTTGGAAGGACAGATGCTTTATATCCTTTTGTTTCCATTTCAAATTATGAACTTTACCCATAGAATTCTGAAAGTTTCAAAAGTTTTTAGTGGTTAAAGGCAGGATGTTTTATGTCTCGAAAGATCAATTGAAATTAATTTGAACTGTGAATGCCAATACATATGTCCAGGCTCCACTCCTATGAGTTATTATTAAGTTAGAATATGAAGAGAGGAATGGAACCCTCAAAAGATTAAAATAATAAGAGAGACAGAAATGAAGTAAGGTGTCCTGGTACTATTATTTTAAATATTGGTTTCAAAATATGCTTTCATGTACTGTTATTAGGTAAAGGTAAAGATTCCCCTTGCACACATGGGCTAATCGTTCCCAACTCTAGGGGGAGGTGCTCATCTCCATTTCAAAGCTGAAGAGTCAGCGCTGTCCGAAAACGTCTCTGGGTCATGTGGCCGGCATGACTAAATGCCAAAGGTGCATGGAACACTGTTACCTTCCCACCAAAGGTGCCCCCTATTTTTCTACTTGCATTTTTTTGTGTGTTTTCGAACTGATAGGTTGGCAGAAGCTGAGACAAGCAACGGGAGTTCACTCCATTGCGCAGCGCTAGGAACTCGAACCACCGACATTTCTGATCGACAAGCTCAGCGTCTTAGCCACTGAGCCACCGCGTCCCTTGGTTATTACTGTTATTATTACTGTTATGTCAGTTATTACACCCTGAAAATTACCCTGAAAAACAAACCACAATAATAATTCATAAAGTGGTGTAAAGTGACAGAGAAGAAAGGGAGAATTGCAAGGATAAAGAGAACAGAATAATTTAGAGATGCGTTTGTTGGAATAAAAGTCCCAGAATTCTGTCAGAAATGAATCTTGGAAAAGAGGATTTATCTGCTAGTTCTTTATTTTGCCAGCTATTTTTTTTTTAAATTTCCACTTTGGGCTGATCTCAATGCTCTTAATTCAGATTTTCCAGGCCCCACTGTTTGCTGGGAGAGTACAGGCCAGGGGTCCCCGAACTTGGCAACTTTAAGACTTGTGGACTTCAACTCCCAGAATTCTCCAGCCAGCTGGTGAATTCTGGGAATTGAAGTCCACAAGTCTTAAAGTTGCCAAGTTTGAGGACCTCTGGTATAAGACTCCTTTCAGCTCAAGCTTTCTGGCATCTGAGCGCGCACATTTTGGCCTAAGAGTCTCGTCACGTCACAGGAGGGACCATGTTTGAGGTGCCAGATGGCCCTCTTTTGCCCAGCGTTTTTTTTCTTTTAGGCCCTTCGTAACAGACGATCAAAGGGCGGATAGGCCGGGAGTCGCCTCGGGGAGAATAAGGAGCCGAGCGGTTCAGCCAGGCCCTGGACGGAGTCTTTGGCAGCAGGGCGGGACTACAACTCCCGTCGTGCCCCAGCCAACATGGCTGCCAGGCAGCGCTAGCTGGACAAAATCGGACTCGACTGCTGAAACCGTTGGGGAGGAAGGCTGAGAAGAAACGTGACTTCGCCACCGACCGAGCTAGGAAGAAGGATTTGTCTTTCTCTCTCTCCCTCTCTCTCTTACCTCGCAACCCAGCGCACGAACCAGGAGCAACGGCCACCGCCGAAGGACCAGGAAGCCGGGCTAGCCCTTCCCTCCACGCCGCTGACGCCCAAGACCGTAGTGGCGCCGTTCGACGCGGACTAACGACGCACTATCTCAGTCTCGTGACGTAGTAGGCGGGGTTGTGGTGGAAAAGCTCCTCCCCGGCTCCCCGCTTTTGCGTTTTTTTAATACTGTCGTTTGTTGTTTGGGAGGGTGTTAAATCAATTTTATTTTTTATTTTACATTTAAAAAGAAGACCCTACTGCCTTTTTAAATGTATTGACCTACAAACGCTTGTCTGAAGAAATATTTCACATCTGGTTCAATAATCCAGATGTGATTTAGTGCACGTGCTTTTGCTGGGCATAATTGATAAGACACTTAAGATAGTGTCTTAAAAAATGCCCTTGGCTTTTGAATCTGCAGCATTAATGCCTGATTAGGAAGCCTACGTTACACAAGATATCTTTCCCATTCAAATATTTTCAACTGAGGATTTAGCGAAGAGGATTTAACTGTGAGAGGGATCTTGGAGTCCTAGTGGACAACCATTTAAATCTGAGCCAACAGTTCTAGGCTGCATAAACAGAGGGATAGAATCAAGATTAGGTGAAGTGTTAATTCCACTTTATAATGCCTTGGTAAGGCCACACTTTGAATACTGCATGCAGTTTTGGTGGCCACGAGGTAAAAAAGATGTGGAAACTCTAGAAAGAGTGCAGAGAAGAGCAACAAAGATGATTAGGGGACTAAAACTTATGAAGAANCCCTCCTCCCCTCTCTTTCTGCTGATTTGGCCTGGTTCAGACGAACCAGCAATGGCAGGAGGCTTTTATCACCCGCCTGGATGCTTCTACCCATGCGCAAAAGCATTGCGCAAGTGCAAGCGTGCACTTGAGCATAAGCAAATCGGTAGTAAACTGGTTAGCAACCACTGGTGTGTATATGCCTTGAATTAGGGTCATGATATTTGTAAAAGGCTAAATGATATGTACCCCAGTCATCATGTATTATATGGCCAGCACATGCTCAGAAGCTGTCTTGTCAGTTCCATGCAAACGATAGCAGGAGACGATTTAGTAAATCTCTGATAGCTAATATCGCTGGGCAAAGATCCACATTCAAAGCATACACCGCGATTAAGAACTTTCAATGGCATTGAGTGTCAGGGGGAGAGCAAAGAGCACAACAGTTTGCACAATCAAAAGTTCAGGTCTTTCTTTCTGCCTGCCACGACACATGTAGAAAGGGGTGGGGCATTAATGGCTGCCATCCTCATTTTAGAGCTCCTCTCCCACCTGTGGTTGCCCTTGAAGGTACACATGTAGCAACTGTGGGGAACTCTATACAACCAACGTGTCTTTTCCAGGATTGTGTATCAGCTGCAGCTGCTTTAAGGTGAGCCCAACAAATGTTACATGCACACCCACATGTTCATTGAATCACTTGAAATCCAGATCTCGGCCCAGCTCTGATAGAATCTACATGGTCAATGTACTAAATCCCAGCATTTAAAATAAAAAAACTACATCATCATGACTGCTTTGAGCATATTCTGTTAGCTGTGGAGTGGACAGATTGGCTTTTTGCCTTCACTCTCTGCCAGAGCGATCAAAATAAAATGTCAGGGTGGACAGTGTTTTTGGATGGAGAAGCTGCATTAGATCACATGAAAGGGGTTTCATGAGTGGAACTAGCTTGTGGGTAATCCATCCCCACACATCCACTCATGTCTTGGATTCTCCTTTCCAGTCTAATGCCAGGGAGAGTCAGAATGCATCATAGAAAAGCAATTTGAATTGTGTGGGCTACACTAAACCTCCTGGGCCTTTTTTCATATTTAACAAAGAGCACAGGATCAAAGGCTGGTGAGCCCACTCTATATCAGATCCCGTGCTATGATCCCACTGATGAAAGCTTTATGATCTGAAGATGGAAAAATGGCATTTCGAGGGTGAATGAGAAGGACTTCAAATAAGGTTCACCTACACGGCTTGAAAACACGTGTCCCCTCCTGGAAATAGAATACTGCTCTCAAAGGGATGCCAAAATGTATCAATGGAGTGCCATTAAGAGATAATGTATTTATTGTAGCCCTTATAAAGTACAGAATGGGCGGGAGCTCAGCAAGTTATAACTGCTCGAGTGCTAGCTGAAAGGACAAAGTCTTGTGGTTTAAATTCAGATGCAGCAGCCAGTGCAAAGATCACTCTGCATCGGACACGTCCCTGTGTTATTAATTTCGCTATAGTTCATTTTTGACTGATTGCATAGCTTAGATTAAGGGCCAAGATATATGTTATCTCAAAATTTCTGCTGGGGTAGCAAAAAGGGGGTTACTATGAAATGTGAGCATATTAAGTAAATTTCATGCCATATCTTGGTGACTAATCAGTGTACATGACTATTTTCAAATAGAACTAACATTAGTAGTGTCAGCCTGCCATCCTGTAGGGATATGGTGGCTCAGTGGTTAAGACGCTGAGCTTGTTGATCAGAAAGTTCAGCAGTTTGGTGGTTTGAATCTCTAGCACTGCATAACGGAGTGAGCTCCTGTTACTTGTCACAACTTCTGCCAACCTAGCAGTTCNACAGAACAATTAATCAGTGGAACAACTTGTTTCCAGAAGTTGTGAATGCTCCACCATTTGTCTGAAATGGTGTAGGGTTTCCTGCCTAAGCAGGAGCTTGGACTAGAAGACCTCCAAGGTCCCTTCCAACTCCTATTCTAGCTTATTTCAAAGTTGCAGAAGCAGATTTAAAACGAAAATTAATATATAAAATATACCTCCACAGAAAATATTACTACATAGTGAGCTAATATATGGATAGGTTTCTTATAGAACTCAGCATGGCACATCACATTTTTTATCATTGGATGTTTGGGGGTTGGTGGATATATTATTGTAAAAAAATACATTGCAATCACCAGATTACTACAAATGGTCATGACCGCTTACTGATCGTTGGAATCAAAAGGATGCATCTTAAATTGGATTAATCAATGGCCTGTGGCCATGCAGAGGCTTCAGTCACAAACGTGCTCTCTGGAGCTCTGACTTTTAGTGGGTGACCGATGAAAATGCTAATGCTATTTATAGCAGGAAATTAAACAAGGTGGTTTCTGCCAATGGACAGCAATGATTGGCATAGGGTCACTGGGACAGAAGCAAAAGGGCAAAGAAGAGAAATGTGTGAGAGTATATTTGAAAAGATCCATGCCTGTTTGTATGTCCATAATGATATTACCCACACTCTTATTACTGTAATGCATAGTGATTTTCTCTTTGGCACCAGGGTTTTCTTGCTTGTCTGGAAGCTAGTTGCCAAACTGTTTGTATTGATGGTAATATATACAGAACAAATTTATAAATGACATTTCCCCCACTAAGCATTCAAATGAGGCCTGTGAAAAGAGCAGAATAAGACTGTTGGGTTTTCTTTTCTTTTAAAAAAAATCAGTTTGGTCAAAGAAACAGTAATTATCTTCATTTCATGATAATGGAAGGAGTTTTATGGTTTGGACTCTGGAAATTTATGACGGCGATAGGACTTTAACCCTGGAACGCTGGCCAGCAAGACTAAAATGAAATGTATAGAAAGGAAATGCTTGTTTAGGTCAAAGAGAACAGTACCATTTATATGAATAGCAATCCTGGAAATGGGAATCTGTTTGTTCTCAAAAGGCACTTTGATGTTCCTTGGAATAATGCATTCCAATTTACCTTTGAATTAATGGAAGCTACAATATCTTCCAACTCATAATTAAATTTAGATGTGTCCTGGAAAATCTAAAAATGGCATTTGTTGTGCCTCTGGATATGAGTTGTTGGAAACAATTGGATGGGGAAAACCAGTCTCTCAATCCTACCTTCTCACCATATCATATTTTGAATTTTCTTTTAGCTATTGATCAATGTGGAAAGCCTGATTGTGGACTAGAAAGAGGTTTGGCTTGAGTAATGCCGGATCAAACCAGAGGATTTTCTACTTCAGTAGGCAGCTTTACTTGGAAGAATTCTGTGACAATACCTCTAACACCATAATACATCAACACGTGCCTATCCCAGGTCCTTGGGAAGGACTCAATAGATGGATAAAAATGTCAGATCCAGTCTGTACATCCAGCTGACTCTGCAATGAACCATAATGCAGATAGTCCTCGACTTGCAACCATTTGTTTAGTGATCAAGTAATAACGAAGTTACAAAAGTGACTTATGAATAGTTTTCATACTTATGGCCATTGCAGCATCTCTATGATCCTGTGATTAAAATTAGGATGATTGGCAACTTGTTCATATTTATGATGGTTGCAGTGCCCTGGGATCATGCGATCACTGTTTGCAACCTTCTGACAAGCAAAGTCACTGGGGAGGCCAGATTCGCTTTACATCTGCAGTACTAACTTAACAACTGCAGTGAGTCACTTAATTGTGGCAAGAAAGGTTGTAAAATGGAGCAAAACTCACTTAACTATCTTGCTTAGCAATAAAAATGTAGAGTTTAATTGTGATTTTAAATCAAGGACTACCTATAATCCTAAATTCTTGGGAAGAACTCAGTACCAACACCAGCTAAAAATCTGGCAGCTGTGACTTCACAATGTTGTGAACAAATAATAATGCAGTTTACTTGAAACAGCCTTACATCCTGCTGCAATACCTTTAATACCACCAAACAACAATGTCTGCCTATCCAAGATCCTTGGGAAAGACAAGGATCAAAAATGCCAAATCTAGTCTAAACATCTGGCTGATGAAGTGACCAACCATAATGATAAAATGTTTATGCTTCCTAACTCATAGCAACTTTGTGCAGTTGTTAGGTTTAAACAGAGAGTGTACTCTGGCTATAATTTCGTTCCAGGAATGCTGCAAACAAGTGAAAATAGTTTTTCAAAACCCCTTTGCCACAACAATGCAGTAATTCATGAAGGGGTTTCAAAGTGTCTGTTTTCTGTTATAAATTAGGAATAAGACAGTGGCACAATAAAAGCATTTAGGGCAAAGACATAGGAAGGACAAAATATGTTTTAAAGTTCTTAAAGACATAATGCCACACAG